TGTGAGTCTTCAGGTTCCTTCTGCACGCTCTCAATCTCACGTGCTGCATCCAGTACTGCATCGTGCGTCACAAGTTCTCTACCAGCTAGAGCAAACATGATATACTTATCCAGGCCCTTCTGAAACTGATGCCTCGTCATAGTAGGGTCTGTAACCAAGTGGGGAGCATATCGACTCAAGGAAGAAAACTCTGCCTCGTACTCATCAACTGTTCGCCCTCCTTGCTTAAGCTCCACAAATCTTCGCAAAAGCTCGTCCCGAGCTGACTGAGGGAAATACTTCCTGTTGAAATGGTCTGTGAAGGTATCCCACGAAATCGGTCTCTCCAAATGAGCTTTCTCTACAGTCCACCAAATCCGAGCGGTGTCGGTGAGCTGAATATCCATAAGGTCCACCCATTCAGCAGGGGCAATACGGGTCACCGTGAGAATAGTCTCGGTGACCTTCAAGAACTCTTCTGCTGCTAAGGGTCCTTCAGCACCAGAGAAAGAAGGGGGCCGCATATACCGAAACTCCCTAACGCTAGACTCTGGACGAGGGGGAGGTTGGTGCTGAGGCTCCCGCTGTAGCTGCCCAGCTAGGTGCTGCTGATTGGTGATCAATCCCTGAATCATCGCCAGAAGTTGGTTTGGATCAACTTCGGGCTGCGGGGCACTGCTACTAGATGGATTATCGTTACTACGAGTACCCACCATGATTCTGAAGGAACGAGGATCAAAAGAAAAATTAAAGTTAAAATCAAATAATATATTTCGAAAATAGGAACTAAAACATAGTTATTAAAAAAATAGTATAAGAAATTAATTGTAATCTAAAATAATAATATAAGAACTTAATTGTAGTCTTACGGATGAAATATGATATGTATCTAAATTGTCCAATATATTCTTACTAGTAGAAACTCGGGACCGTGACCTGCATGGGCCACCAAAAAAACCTGTCACGCCCCGCTTCCCAAAATACACGGGAACAGGAACGTGAACAAGCTCGCGACGTATTAGATTGAGAAGAAATATACACTACCATTTTTTTTCTTTTTCTTTTCTTCTCAATCCAATACGCTAAGCGTCTAGAAATAAATATAATACGAAGTCACAGGTCCCCGATCACACATAGCAAGAATATAAAGACAACCCAGCCCTGCTAAGAATCTTCTGGCTCCTGTACGATTCCGAACTGAGGCTGTCCATCTCCTAAATCTGACGTACACCAGAGAAAATAGGAGTACGTCAGCGTGCATGACACACAGCAAGATCCCACATAAAAAAATATAACAGTCGTATGACCAATGCAAAAACCGATACAACAATGAAAATAACAAAAGAAGCATGCAACTGGGAATATAACCAAAACAACATGCAATCCACTACTAAAGATAACAATCTAAAGAATCCATAAACATCCGAATAACAAAGTCATACATCTAGATGGAATTAATACTTAAAAATCTACAACTCGAGACGTAGTACGTCGAGCGAAATAATCTAAACAAGGAAACCCTCATGTATATACCATATGTCTTGAATTGTAAATAATTAAATATTAATCCTGATCTATGTATGGAAAGAAATACAACTGATCTACGTCTCACAAGAATCATACTTAGCCAAGAATCTAAGTCATATAACTAGTCATCCTGTAACAGGTCACTGGCTCATATTATCGGATAACTGATAGATCGCGATCACAAATATCCCAACTCCTCGGACCCACCCCGGTGACTACACAAACTTCACCGGCGCGAGCCTGGAAATAATCAATAATCTCGATATCACAACTCCTCGGACCCACCCTGGTGACTACACAAACTTCACCAGCGCGAGCCCGGAATACACAAACATCTCAACTCATCAAACCCACCCCGGTGACTACACAAACTTCACCGGCGCGAGCCCGGAATACAACCACAATCACAAATATCTCAACACCTCAGACCCACCCCAGTGACTACACAAACTTCACCGGCGCGAGCCTGGAAAATACATCAACCATCACAACCGCTCACATGGACCAAGACTTCTCACCCCAATTCTCGTAATTCCAGGTCAACTACACACGAGATTCTAGATCCTAACTGTGTCATACAGGTCACTATAGTCATGTACTTCTCATGATTCTCAACATGGAATAATAAATATAATTACACTAAGTGTCAAAGTCATAAAGTATGAACAAGGGTCGTGATCACATGCAAGGAACATACGAGAGTAAAGCTACTATTAACAATGCAAAGTGAAACTACCATTAACAGATGTTTTGCACATGAAAATCGAAATCTCAGTTATTAGTTCTAACAATAATTTCCTTTAAATTTATCTCTTATTATAAAATTCTAAAATGATCTTCTTAAAATATATTCTATTATTATTTATGAACAGTAATACTTTTTAATTTATATATGATTTCTATGATATTTTATAAAATAATCTAAAATACTCTTTTTCTCAAAATAAAATTCTTTTAATCATAACAATTATTCAAAAATACTCCATATCCAAAATAAATTATTTTCTCGAAATAATTCCTTTTAAAATATTTTCCTCATTATAAATCATTCAAAAAAATTCCTGTAATTACATTTTTTTTCCTTCCAAACATCACGAAATTAAACATAAACTATTTTTGACATATCTATTCATCACTTATAGCATCGTTTCGCAGAATATAATCACACAGTATCAACAACTCACGCAAATAATCACGTTATAACATAATCTAGCATAATTAAATCAACGTATATAATTAATAAATTCTTAACGTATTAAAAATAAATAGACAAGACGATGAGCAAGAGGGATCTTGCCTCGGGGTTCGTCGAACAAATTGACATTGATGGTGCGAGTCGGATCTGACGCGGGAAAGTTGGACGGTAACTTCAGGGTAAAGA